TTCTCTCTATATATTACTTGCTCTGACTTCTCTCTTATATACGTATTTCATAAAAAAAGATTGCAAGTTGACACGATTGTACAACAAATAATCAAAGAAATAATGACACCAATATTATTCCTAGAGTTTGTATAGACAAAAACATGACTTAAATCTCACATGGACAAAAAAGTGATCATTTTATTATTCAATTGTTATCAATACCCTAATGCCCTAATTGTTTTTCCGCATCATCTTCTTCTCATCGATGCAACTTCAAGAGGCCCAGAGCAGCTCCCCATCAAAATCTGTCTCCTGCTACCTTCCATCCGCTCAGAGCCGCCGTCACGACATCTCACGCCATCATTGCCGTCGACCCAAGCCCATCGTCCTCGTCGCCAACTCGCCATCGTCCATATCGATTCAGACGATTCGTCTTCATTTCACTCTTCTCCTTTCTTCTCGTTTATTAAAAAAAGATGGCGTAAATTTGTGATGGCGAGGGCGGATAACTGCGGAGGTGGCTAGCAGACAACGTTCTTGGCAGTTAGGGTTCAACAATTTCGGAACGGATGAGAATTCAAGGTACTCAAGGTGATGACTACTACACATGTCTAGAGTTTTTGGGTTAGGGAGGACAGCGATTATGGTCATCGACATGGTAACACCGGTCTGGTGGGATGGAGAGGGGTTGGGGGCTGGGGCAGGGGAGTGGGTTGGGGCAGTGGGACAGTGACAGTGACTAGGATATGTAACAGGGGATGGTGTACGTACAGGGGATGGTTGGTGGTCACTGGCCGAGGCACCGGTGGTCACTAAGCGGGATACCGGTGAAAGTCACTGGACAACGTGTTACTAGCCAACATAGTCAGTACAAGGGTCGTTGAGTCACTGGACGAGGGGAGGAGTAACTGGAAAATAGGGGAATGGTTGGTGGTCACTGGGGCGTATAACAGGCGGAATGGTTGGTGGTCAATAAGCGGGTTGCCGGGGGAGTCACAGGGCGAGTTACTAGCCGATGTTATCACTGACGAGTAACTGCCGACGCAGTCATTGAACGAGAAGTGGAGTCACTGGAAAACATGAGGCTTGTGAGGGAGTCACTGAATGAAAGCAACGGTCATGACGGTGGCCTTGGCCGTGATAGCAGTGGCTGGGTTTGGTGGTTGGACAATTGGTTACGTTTTTATTATACAAAGTAATCAATATAATAATACTAAAATAATACGGAGCAGTAAACATAGATTCTTTTTATTATATGGAGTATTAATACAAAACATGATTAATCGCTTTTTTGGAAAACTCAAAACAAGTCATATTTTTGTCATTTCTATTTAATTTAGTAATATTTGTAAAAAAAAATGCCATAATCAAATACTGTATTAGTCCTTAAGTACGTATTTACAATACACTTCATAAAATAATTAATATGACTAAACACGGCATTCCAAAATAGGACTAATATGTTTTTATTCCCGAAATATGACTAACATGACATTATTTACTACCATCTTGTAGGCGTGACTGTGAAATAGTTGCGGTACAATGCATTTAATATGACAGTATTTATTATAATTAATGACACTATTTTTTAATCATGCCAGTATTTTTCATACATGGTGGTAACACTACATATTTCGGGAAGAAAAACATAGTAGTCTTATTTTGGAATTTCAAACCTCAATTACTCCTATTTATAGCAATTTCTCATTTTTAAGCTATCGTTTAGATTTTACTCGGTATTCTTGGGTTATCAACCATACAATTCAACACCATTTGGGAATTTTGGGGTAAATCCGTAAGTACCTGCACGGGTAGCTCAGTTGGTCGAGTGGTGGGAAAATTGGACCAATTGACCAAGGTTCGAAACCCGCAGCGGCCGTGTGGAGGTTACAGAACTTGAAACAAGGCTGGACCTCTGGTGCGCACGTGAATAAGGCCTACCATCACTTTGCTGACTGAGTCACCGTGATTAACCTCTCACCATCATGTCGGGTCGGGGGGGCTTGGGGTTGGGCATTCAACCTTCTGGACCAAGGGGTAAGTCCGTAAGTATTTAAAATATGACTCCAAAACAGCCGAATCGAAAACTCCAAAGTATAGAACCACCCGACCGCCAAAGACTCAAGACGACCACCGGACTAGACGGGTATCGGTACCGGCTCGATCAGTTTTGTTGTTGCATTACATTGGTGGATTTTGAATTTTCATTTTGGGTATTCAAATACATAATATTTTTTACAATCAACAGTTTAAAACTTAGTAGTATTCGGCACGGTTCGAACTCGAATCTATCGAACACGTGAAATTAAAAATTTAATTTATAAAAGTTATTGGGTGTAGGAGCCGACCAGCAGCTTGTCACACTATCTCGACCATGGAATACGTTTTCCAAATCAAGCGAGCTAGATCAGAATGATTATACGATTAAACATGTCGGTAGGCTACTACATAGGGGATCCATTGCATATTGGGGTCGATCGATCGGACCTTGTAAGGACGACTTCTCCGCAAATATCTACGAAGTACGGAGTACATATATACTCCGTATCTATTGTCTCCGACCGGTTGACTAAATACGACTAAACATAGACCATGTTAGATCACGTCTATGTAACACAAATATTTGATTCAACTCCATTACCTCCTATACTCGATGTAGACTATATGCTCATAACATAATTATTTCACTAGTTTATCATTTAACTTAGTTCAAAATCTTTGGTAATCTCTAGCCATCTGTTTACTAAAGTTAAATGTTCTCTGTTTTTTCTATCTATTTGGAAGAAATTAGTATAATTAAGATACTTTATGTTTTACTGGATCTTAAAATGAGTGAGATTCACAAACAGAAAATACTATTCTCATTGAGGTAAGTATATGGTGAGTAAAGAGTGAATACAAGTGGCAAAACTGTTTTAAAATTAACATTTTGACATAAGGGTAGTTGAAGTAATTTATAAATTTTTTAACTAACATATTGGTGTTGTTTGGTATTCGGCGGGTGGGGTGGAAACGTCACTTTTTAATATGGTACCGGCGTTTTAGATGGAAACCGCTGCAAAACAAACACTCTTATTATCTCTTTTCTAAAATGATTTGCGAATACTCTTCATAAGATTTAAATGACGGCATATTTAGGATGTTTTACTTGGACCATAATTTGCTGGTCTGGTCTGGTTTGGTCTGGTCTGGTCTGGTCTGGTTTCTTTGTATTTTTATAACTATCCAAGTCTGGTCTGGTCTGGTCTGGGAGGAATTACAGTCCAAGTAAAAACATCCTTAGATCTTAGTCAAATTTCAAATAAAAAAATGAAGGATAAATAAAATGAGATTAAAAATACGCCAATCACTTTAAATAACAACAACAAAACAAAAAACTTATGGGAAAAAAGTAGAGTAAATTTAAGATAGATTCTATGGTACCCTTAAGGTACTGTAACTTTGTCCACATGAACCAATCAGAATGATGCAGTTGAATTATTTAAATCTAAATTAAAAATGATGTAATGATTTGAACCAATCAAGTGAGCGATAGGTACGATACCCAATTTTTTAAATGAGCACCGAAACTGTCACCTAAATTTAAAATCAGAAAAGGTAAACAAAAAAGACATCCAATCTAATTTCACAACCTCTTTTTCGTACATTTAAGACTATTCAGTCAGCTTATAGGTCATAAAGTAGGAAGACATGCAAGTGCTGCCGTATTACATTAAAATATGTACCAATTGCTGGTCGGAGTAGTTTCCGCATTAAATTGGCATCCCAAAGTCTTCAATCGCCCCCACTCACGGCACGTTTTTATTGAATCCAAATATTCTTTCTTTTTATATAAATAAATCAAATATAAACCATTGACTAATTGCAAGTCCAAAACCATTATTATACCAGTTCGCCCAAATAAGAACAGGTTAATGAATAATGGGGTTGGATATTTTTTTAGAATTCCTTTTAGCAATCTTTGTCAACTTTTATTTAAAAAATGATTTAAGCTAATTACGTAGTACTCCACTCCGTATAAGATACCCAAAGGTCTACATTGATTAATTTTTGCATTTACATAGTCAAAACATAAATAAATTAAAAAATAATGACATTGAGCAAAAATATACATTGAGCAATAAAGTAGTGAAGTACGTACTTCTATAATATTTCAATTCAATGACGATTGATATATTTAGAAATAAAAAAAATTATTATTTCAACGTAGATGTGTCAATGTGTTTCGAAAGTTTGAGTTATTTCTAATTAATTGTAATATGACCTTTTAAAAAGAACATACCTCAAAAGTAGACGCAATATACATTATATACTAATCAAAGTATACAATTGTGTTACAATATGATGTCAATGTCAAAGCACACACTACTTTTTTTAAAATATGCAATCACATACAGTCATCCTAAATCTCAATCCATCCCAAATATTATAAAATTTTGGTCACAGGTTTAAAGAATTAATGTAAAATTTATCTCAAAACATTCTTTTGACCAACTCAATTAGTATATACAGTATATATATAAGCCTTCTAAAAAAATTTAAAAAAAAACAGAAAAAAATATAAGCCCTCTTACTGTCTTACACTCTTATATACTTAGAATCCGTTTGGTGATCCTTTTTTCGGCTTATCAGGCTTATCAGTCAGCTTTTTCACCAAGCATGTAACTTTTGATTTTTACACGTTGAATTGTGTAATAAGCAGAAAAAGTAAGGTCAGAATTACTTTTCTATTCTGGCTGTATTGATCGGATCATTTTAGCTATTTTATCATATAATTTTTTTATTATAATTTTTAATAACAAATATTTTAAATATATTTTGTCATTAATCAACAGATTCAGCCAATACAGCCACTTCAGCCAGAACTTTATAAAGAATCAATCAATTCAGCCAATTTTAGTATTACCAAACGGACTCTTAGTACCTACATTAAAACTATAACATTATTTTAAACTAGATAAAAACATATTGTGACAATTACTCTCAAATTAAGGGAGAGGGTAATTGATTAATGGTCATTGTGCTCTCTAAAAACATTTTTTTTTCTTAAAGAAATACATGTATTCCTAAAAAAGGGGGTAACACATTCATTCATAAACAAACATTTTTTCATTAAAGAAGACAAACGACACGTATGGTTGTGAAAGCATACAAAGTCCCACTTCTATCAATGATTCAATTCCAACCCCACTTGTTTTTTTTTTCCTTTTCAAATTAATCTTTTTCAACGGCGAATAAACGGAGAGAACAAATCATATGGGAACCTAATAATAATGCACCCAGCGTTGACCAAATCTCCTTGTCCTCTTCCGTCCAAAACGTGGACGGTGTTGATTTTTCCACTCAGGCTGAGACCTTTTGTGCTCCTCGTCCCCTCTCTGCGCCGTCCGATCGATTCAGCCGACGGCTAGGATGACTCGAGGATCAGAGAAGCGGGAGTGTCTGTGATCGACTGTGAATGGTTGTGATCTCCTTCGTATGTTACGATTAACATCGTTGGATCATCCAAAGCTCGTTCCACATGCTTCTTCGCTGGACATCCTCGTACGCTACTACACTTGTAATAACCCCTGAAATCAAATCAAATATTACAATTATATCATCAGATTCAATAAGATTTTATAAAATTACGAATTACTCCGTAATAAATATGAAAAAAAATGTAACTGTCGGGTGTTTGGATACGATTCTTAAAACTGCTTCTACTCCTTCAGGGAGCAGAAGGAGAAGTTGGAGTGTTTGGGTGAAAGTGCAGAAGTGATTCTGGTACTCTAATTTACTCCTAGAATCGGTTTTTTTAAAAACTGAGGGTGATCAGCTTCTGAAAACTGATTCTGATTCTGCTTATGCTTTAAAAAAGAAACATAAACAGAATCAGTTCCAAACACCCCCTATGTAGTGTTTGTAATTGATTTTGCTTCAATTTTTTCAAAACCAGAAACAGAATCAGAATCTAATCTCCCACAAATTCCAAAATCCAGCTTCTAGAAGCAATTTGGAGCGGCAGATGAAAGTATTTCTATACTTTCGCTCAAACAATATAAAAGATGTTTTACTCTTTGAAGTAGCAAAAGTAATTTTAAACAAATACTCCGTATAATCACACCCTCTATATATTTTGCTATGTAGGAATTATAATTGTACCTTTGATCATAATTATAATCACTATTAAGTTATATATTCTTCGACTCAATATATTTGCTTTACTTATCTTTTTAGATTTTTTAAAAAGCGCTCATTGTCATAATTTTTTTGGAAAGAAATATGTAATCCAAACATTTGACTTTTTTGATTTCATTATACTCAAATTTCCTACGATTTATTCTTTTACAATAACTTTTGTTCATAATTGTATCGGATCAAAACAGTACATTCTTTATCATAAATCTTAATTTAGTTGAGAAAATCATAGAAAAGAAATACATACCTAGGGTGTGGGGAACCCTTGATGGGCTTTTGGCCGTATTTTCTCCATGAAAAATCATCCGGGGGAATATCAGCCAACTTCATGCTGATTGCCGGTATTCTTACCACTCTTAGGACCTTTGATTTCCTGATTAAGATCAAATGAACGTGTCAGATTAATAGTCAATGCAATTAATATAGGGCAATTAATACGATTAAAAGTCAATTTAAATGCTTTCTTGGCGTTGACTTTACCTTTTCTTCGGGCAGTGGCAACGTCCAGATCCGGACCCACCACCACTAGCGCACTTGAGGGCAGAATCGTCCATCGAATGGCACTTCCGCTTAAACGACGACGTAGAAAGCGGGGGCCTACCGGCCGACGACATGCTTGAGAGATTAGTCCACTGGAAGCTCTCTGTTTCTCCGGTCAACGATGACATGAAAGAACTCGGGACCGATGACGCCGGAGAGGCGGCGAAGTTTATGGTGGACGACGGCTCTTTCCGTTCCGCCGCCGCGGGCACACCCTTCTGCACCTGGTGGTGGTTGTGAGGAAGCGGCGGCAATAATTGAATCTGCGACGGAGTAAACATCTTCTGGCCACCGGTTTGCGGCTTCTCGGAGCTCTCCGTAACCCGGAACCGACCCGAAACCTCGGGTTCCGGTTGAGGATCCGTTTTCATCGGGTGTCGCGGAACCGTATTCGCGGTGTTACAAATCGGGCCTTTCCGGAACCGGGCGTGTCCGGTCCGGTTCCGATCAAGCAAAGATATGAACTTTTTGAACTTACCCACGGCAGCGTCCGCCACGGCTTGGTAATCGGCGGAGGGTTCCACGGCGGATGAAAAGCACGTATTTTGGTGGCGGGATTGAGAGAGCAGCCTAATTAGATTCTCAACGCTCTGCATCCCAGCGGCGGCCGCCTCTTGAACGGCATCGTCCTCCATCTTAGCGCCGAAGACGGTGGTTCCGTAACCGGACATTAACTCCACGGCCATTTAGTCAACTATTTCTTGACCATTAACCAATAAGAAAAGCTCTAAAGATCTCTGAGACTATTTTGGTCAAAGAGATAAGAAAGAAAAGGAATTGTGAGAGAAGGGGGGATTTAACGGAGGGCAGAGACGATTAAAATAGAGACGATTTGGAGGTGGGCTACAGCGAGTCAAACTTTAGATGCTCCGTTCATATTTCTCTTTCATCTTTTTTTCCTATATTCGAAAAATGTTGTTTCTGACTTTATTTCAGTCAAACTTGGGAGCCAATGGGAGGGCGACGCGTGTGATGCTTAAGGGAGGAAATACGGTTTTGGGCATTGACCGAACCATAAATTGCAGGATCGGGTAACGGGTAATCCGGTGGACGCTATTGGTTGGGAGCAGAAAGTCAAAAGTAGAGTATGGACCGTTAAAGCAGAGACTCGGTAAAAACGGGGGTGGAAAGTGTGAAAGGCTGGACTGGTGGACTGGTACTGCTGGCGCCAGAGAGGAAATATTTGACCATTTAACACCTCTCGGTCAAGTGATGGACAGTTAATAGTTGGACGGGTAATTATACATACGAAAGTATTTATTTCTCACAAAATTAATTTTCATCCGTTTTTATTTTGTCTTTCCCTTTTGATTTTGTTTGATTTTTTGTTAGAATAAACCTATCTCGTTGAAATTTAGTTTAGTACTATCGTAAAAGTTTAAATACGTTGGATTCTCTCCTTAATTGAGAAGTTCATAGAATTATAGGAATATTGAGAAGATATCTAGAATTTTCTAGTTGCGTGTAGAAACGTATTGAATGTTCTAGAATATTCTGAAGCTTTCTAGAGAGATGTGAAATTAACTAGAAAAGTATAGAAGAATGTAAAATATTCTACAACATTGTGGAGTTTTCTAGAGAAGTGTGAAATTGTTTGGAAGTGTGTGGAAACCTCTAGAACATTCTCAAGCAGTGTGGAATTCTCTAGATACTTCTAGAAGATTGGAGAAACTTGTGGATATATACTTCGTGGAAGAATCTAGAAGTGTAGTAGTACATAGAAAGTTTTATATAAGCATTGATGAGATTTGTATAAATAGGGGTGAGACTTCTCATTCCTAAGTGAGCTTTGAGTGAGAGCCTTGTGAAAACCTCCTTAAGAAATGAGAGAGAGTCTGAGAGAGAGCTCTTGAGTGAGTGAGTGTCTTCTTAGAATTGTGAAAATAAGAAGTGAAAATTGGATAGCACAATTTGGTTTTGGAGTTGTAAGTTTAATTAAAGGAGAAAAATTGGAGAACCATAATCTATATCTTCTTCATATATTTAAAAAAATCTTAGTACGGAGTAATTTATTTCACGCATAACATTTATCTTATTACAATGATACATTTTGTGGGTTTTTTCTCTTCACTATTACTCAAATAAGCTGATATAACGACATTGCATCATTCATAACATGTACTACCTCCATCCCATTCAAACATTTTCGTTCACTATTTTCCGATCTACATAAAGTTTTTCTAGAGCCTCTTTGGTAATATTCAAATCACAATACTACAACTATTAAAGAATGAAGAAAGTATTTAAAGTATATTTTATTAATAAAATAAAGAAAAAATTATACAAGGTATTAAAACAGCTAAAATTATAATCTACAGTAACTCCAGGCAATATAGCCAGAATAGCAACTCCAACCCTTTTTCTCTTATTATTACACAATTAAGCGCGTGAAATCACAAGTTACGTGTTTGGTGAAAAAGTTGATTGACAAACCTCATTAAGTCGAAAAACACGATCATCAAACAAGCTCTTAAATTTTTAATATAATTTTTGATTGTGTAAATTTTACTTACTAAAAATAATCCTATTAAGGACATTAATCGATTAACTTTATAGTCAGTTAAAAATCGTAAACCGCGTGAGAACCTTACGGGACGAAGGAAGGAGACAATTTTAGTACAACATATCTTAGACCAAATTAATAGTAACTCATATTGTGAAACTTCAAGTTCCCTTATGCATTCTTTAAATTATTGAGAGAATAGACGATCTTGTCATTTCTTTGTCTAACAAGTATTTATACACCAGATGTCTTAAACGGGGTCCAAATATGGATTGACCTTAACTTGGACATTTTTTCAATGTTTTTGATTTCATGAACTCCGCCATGAGATCATTTTTTTGGTATCATGTCTGTCCCAAGCCAAGATAAAGGAGGAGGGTGTTGTGGTAGGCACGTGACGGCCAACAGTATCACTTAGTCACATCACATGACATGAATCGAAATCCGCCTTCTCTTTTTGGCATTGATATCATAGATCGATTCATGTTAGCCGACCCCAAATTCTTTTGGAATTAAGGCTTGGATGTTGTTGGTGTTGTTGTTTTTGATTTCATGCACCATGTATTCAAATATATGTCCGTGTGTTTGTGTAAAAAATGAGAACTCTGTTTCTGATAAATACTATGAAAGTACAATTCACGTTGCTTTTGTATGATCTCATACTATCACTCAATGAGTAGGACATTCAGACATGACATTTCAAGTTGTTTCTTCGCAATATCTGAGTAACTTCTTTAAGATTATACTCAATGTTTGGAATTTTATCGTTGTTATTTATGTGCACAACTTGTGTATAAATTAATTTGTGCTTCCAATATCCATAAAATAAGATCACGTTTTTAATGTTATAACTCCCTCAAAAACGTACTCCGTAATATATACATGCTTCACAAAAGCAATACATGTCATCATATTCTATGTCGCAGGTATATATGCTTTGAGCATTATATTATCATCGTTTAAAACAAAAAATATGACAGTCTCACCTCTAAAAAAACCTAGTCTTGGGTTTCATAACCCATCCAACTCTAAGCAATATATACAAACAACCCCTTCTTGGGATTTGAGAGGCCGTTATTAGGGATAGAGTCGATTTATGAAAATAAAAATGCAGAAATATTATCACTGCCATCTAGGGCGGACTGGGTCAGCGGTCCCGCACCGGGTACCCAACCTAATCCACTTTTTCAATCCCGAGTTTGGGCCGGATACCCGACCGGGTATTGAGCGGCCACAGTCTCGGATCAGTAGTCTGGGGACAGGACCAAGCGGTCCCAATCCCAATCCCAACGGCTATATTTTTTTTTTAATTTCCTGTTGGGTTTAATGAAGCGAAAGACTTTGATATTCTCCAATAGTGGAAGAGCCATGAAGGGGTGTTCCCAATTTTATAAAAAATGTCCAAACAAGTGTTGCCGTGGAACAAGAGTTTAGCGAAGCCGATAACGTTTTGACTGACTATAGAACGAGGTTGAACGCTTCATCTCTTGAAACACTCGTTTGCTTCCATGATTGGTTGAAGGCCCGCCGTAGAACACAAGTTAACATAGCACCGAACCACCATTTCATGGAGGAAACGACAACCAACACCAGAAGCGACTCCGACAAATAGTTCATGTATTGTAATTCTCAACTTTAAACTATCCTCGATTGTAATTTTCAAATGTGATATTGATACAAGTGACAACTGACAATGTAGTGTTTAAAGTAAATATACATCATTTATTTATTGTACAATAAATTTTAAAAAATAATAATAAAGGACTGCACCGCCCGAGACCGGACTGGAACTCGCCGGGTAGACCGGACCGGAACCGGGTACATTGTAACCCGGGTCGGTTCCGATCTTTACAAATACAACCCGGGACCGGCCGATCATGGACCGGGTCCAACCCTACTACCATCAACTTGATATCATGCATCAACACAATCAGCATCGATATCTTCAGTTTCATTTTCCCAGTCTAGTTCAAAAGACCCAGCGGACTTGATCAGCTCTGTCAATCCAGTTACATCCTCTAGATATGTGGGGTGGTTGATGGCTTCAAGAACAAAATTCATCCCCTGCTTGTCGAATTCTGATACAACCTGTTATCTCACATTATTTTAATCTTCACAACCTCCAAAACTGGTTTAAACATGAAAACACATTCTTACATAATTTATTATACGTAGTAATAGTTTGATTTTGATATATTGAAAAAAATTAAATAAAAGACATGAATTCTTCAAACAATTTGAACCAGCTCCAATTCACTTTCTAATTTTTGCAAATAAGTGTACTCCACTTTTTGTGTTTGATTTAAACATAGAAATACTACGTAGTAAATAGAGCTATAAAACCCAAAGAGAATATGACAAATAGAAAAGCGTTGACAAAGTAGAAAAATATGCATTGCTTTTCCGGATTTTGTAGAGTTGATAACTAGATTATATGCACTGAATACTGAAAACTCACTTTGGAGCAGCAAGCTGTACAAGTGGAAGAAGCATGGCCCACCAGAGACATCTGTGAAAATTGAGACAAGGAGCCGCGAATCTGATGAGGCAGTATACCCAGAGGTTGCTCCTCGCTACTCCCGGTATTACAAGAATTCTCAAATTCAGCTTTGGCATATATCCTGTCCAAGGTGTTTCCATGTTTGGAGAAATTTAAGAAGTTATTTCCCCTTACGAACATCATTAATTCTGCCTATGGGGTCTAAAAGAAAGCAAAAAAAATTACTGACTTGGCTTTTATAACACAATATGTACTCTGAAAGAAACTCTTAATAAACGACTATTTGTTGTGAACCACAGGGAGCCTAAGATAAAGGAGAAAGAAAAACAGAGAAGCTTTGTGAGAATTAGAAGGAATTACCCACACGGATGATGCAATATGCCCACCAAAAGCTCAACAGCAAGGGCAGATGCAATAGGAGCAAGCCCAGGACGAGTAACTGTGCATTGTTGGTCCAAAGTACGGTTGGCAGTAGACTACACACCAAAAACAAAGCATTGTTACTATCCCCAAACGCAAAGATATTAATGAGAAGTCCGGACTACAATTATTTTAATTTTGTAGTAGTGATTACATCGACAGGCGCAACAACATCATTACAGAAGTAACACCCCAATCTCGCCCTGCTCCCAATTGTGTCACTGAGTGAAAGCTTCTTCACATCAGCAAGGCAACTGTGATGAGTTTCTTCTTTTAAATCATGCATAGTGCTCATGGGACCGGCTCCATGGCGCATGACAAGGAAGCTATCAAAACCTAGCGCTGCAGTGATAGTTATCTGCAGACAAACCACACAGAATATACAGATGAACCAATGAACCATCCGTGCAAGTATGAGTTTCAAGCATCCATGCAGACAAACTAGTATGAGTTTCAAGCATCTCTGCAATTGTTTTTAAATTAACATTGGCTTATACTCCATTATGTATTACTTTCTCTGTCCTTTTAATTTCTCAATTTATGCACCAAACTTTTTGGTTTTCATTGGTTTTGGTGATTCAATAAAACTTTTAGTTTAATTTGCAAATATGTAATGTAATAGGAGTAACTAACAGTAGTTTATTTGTTATTAGGGAAGACCACCAGCCACTCATCAAAAACTGCAAAATGAAGTTTAATATGAGGTGTGGTAGTACTAGTATAAGATTGCGAACTTTACAAATAATGATGTCGCAAATCGCTTAAATGGATGAAATTGGCAAATAAGGATTTTCTTTAATTCATTTAATTTACTTCCTATCAGCGTTTCGTTTTTAGATTAATTATCTATTGAGCAAGTTCAATTATTTCATTCACAACTTCAGCAATCGCAATCACTTCAACCATTTTAAGCCTTTGAAAATTGAAATGGGCTATTAGTTGCAAACAAACTCATAGAAGTAGTGAAAAAGAACTTCTAATAGAGAACACTGACAAGAGAAAAGAACAGCAACAAACCTTGTTGGCGGTAGCACAAAGTAGACTTGGAAGCCACCGACTTTCTCGAGTATCAGTCAGTAAAAAGATAACATCATGAGAAGAAATCAAACCCTGCAAGCGTGTACAGTCCTCAAGTACATTGTGCTCTTCTTCTTTTGGCACTGAATGACCTGGCATTGGAATATCCATCACAACACTACCTGCTTCCTGAGAATAAAAGGAAACAACAACATCCAAGTCTTAGTTCCAGAAGAATTTGGGGTCTGCTAACAATCTAACATGAATTGATATATGAAATTGGAGCTAAAATAATAAAAGATAGAACAAGATAAAAAAAATAAGATAAAGATAAAAAAAGGCAAACATAAGATAAAGACAGAAAAGATAAGATGAGAAAGATAAAAAAGATAAGATAAAAAGATAAAAAAAAAGATAGAAAGAGGGAAAAGAAGATGGCAAGAATCTTTTTGGAACTTGGAAAAAGATCAGGAAAGTACTAGATAGAGAAGTTTGAGGGAAATCTACAAATGAAAATGTGCGGGGAACTAAAACATTGATTCAAACTCGATAAAATCATTTTTTACATATGTTCAAACTCATTTTAGTTGTTCATAACTTCATATCAATTATATAAACACTAAAAAAAATTAAGATTAATTTCAATAACACTAAAAGTCAATCGATTTATGTAAAGATTAAATCTACATTGTTTAGTATATTACAATCATTTTTTACAATCGTTTTATACATATGTTGATAGTCATTTTATTGTTTAACGTAATATAGTATATTACGTAAAGACTAAGAAATCTACATTTATGTAAAGAATAAAAAATAAAAATAAAACCAAGCATATTTCTTTTCGTTTTTTCACAGTAAAACCGAACATGAGAAAATAACTTTCCTTAACATCTTCTTTTCATTGTTTTCACTATAACTCTTCGTGACCCAATCACACCCTACGGTAAAATTATATGGAGAAGATTTGATTACCACGGCTGGAAATATTCGCTTGAGACTTTCAGCAGCAGCTTCTGCCTTGAATTTACCCCCACTCAAGCAATCATCTAGTATATAAAGTGATTGCCTTAAAGGATTTGACATTGTGACTCTTCCACTGTCAAGCATTGTAATTTTTCGAACACCCCATGCCTGCAAAACAAAAAAAAAACATAAAAAAACTTCTTCAATATGGCCTTACAGGGGTAGGGTACCCAACTATCCACACTCTGCGTATGCTCACCATAAGCATTCTAGCAACTTGGCATCCAAGTGTACCTGCTCCCAATAGAAGACACTTAGTAGCAGACAATAAGTTAAGATTCAGCGAAGGTAATGCACGCCACCTCATCAGTTTTAAGTTCAAATCTGCAGCGGAAATCGCCAGTCTGGGAATGTGTGAAAAAAGAGAACATAATTACAAGATGACATACAGTCCAAGTTTAATTAGAATGACATTTGAGAGATTATTTTCGCAAACCTAGTTGGATCCATAGTTTCAGCCAGACTAATACATCTTGAAGCCATCTTCCCCTTGTTTGTCTCCCATCCGACAACTTTAGGAATATTTTGAAAATCTTTCCATCCTAGATCCACATGTTTGAAAACACAAAAATTAAAAATAAACATTAAGGCTATTTTGGAACTTGGAAAATGATCTGGAAACGGGGAAAATACTAAGAAAAATGTTATTTAACTGTGCCTTTAACTGAATATATGAAAAGAAAAAAAAAACTTGATCAGAATTTTTTAAAGTAACGCTTTTAATAAGATTTATCAGTTTTCATACAATAGAATGCTTCGTTGGAAGTGCTTGAGAGGAGGGGAATGAGAACACCTGGGAGGAAGTAATTTTTAGGGAAGTAGCGACTTCGACTCCCCACTTACAGGAAAATGCACTAAACCCCCAAAAGAGTTGGAAACCAAAGTATCCCATTCCCCTTCATCTCCACGATTACACTCACACCATATCCCAAGCCTTTCTATTCACCAAGCACCTCCTTAAACAAAATAGGTTTGAAAAAATATCTATGATTGTTTATTAATTTTAAGCACTTTTAATAATTTTTCCCAATTTCTATTTCTTCCTCATTTTCCTTTCAATTTTCTTCCAATTTCCTTCCCTAGCATTTCCCAAGTCGTAAACAGACCTAAAATCAAAACTGAAGTATTAAAGTTCAGGATAATAAAGTGTAACCAGTTTCTTTTGTTACCTTGGGAAACAGATATCAATGCTTCTCCAACAAGGGACATTCCCATATCTGCAAATCCACGGCTCTCTCTGTAGCAGAAAAATTTAACCTTTTCAAGACCCCACCTTGCAGAAATATATGCAAGATAATTTCGCAATGGCCAGCCAGGATTACTTGGATGGTTACATGGGTCATAAAACCCAAAAAGAACCTGGCACATATAGAAACTTCTATTAAAGATACCGCCATCTAAAAATTCACCTGTAGTATTTGAATCCTGCTTTATCAATGCACTGTTTGAATGAAAAAGATGGAAGAAATGAAAATAAGAAGTGGAGATCATATAGATGTAACTAAGATCTATTTTACCTTGTTTAGATTTAAATAGAAGATAAAGAGAGAAAATAAATTTAAATTGATAATTTCCCTTCCATTAATTTACATCACTCCTCTTTCCTTCAACCCTCTCCTTAGTTTCGTCTCCAGATTTTTCTTTCCCCTCTATGGAAAATACCTAACAATGCCTCATTTTCATTTTCATTTACCCCAATGCCGCAAAGGCTCCCACCTACGGTGGGGTAAGGGGGGTCGGATGTACGCAGTCTTACCCCTGTACTAAATCACAAAGAGACTGTTTCCGGATGACCCATAGTGAAAATCCCGTCCAAAATTGTATGGACTGACAGCTGCTTCATAACAAAGAAGCGCAGACAGTTTAGTGAGCCATTTTGCTTTATTCCATCATAATCTCAAGCCAAAAAATAATGAATCTTTGGCTCCATTGCAAATAATGGAAAATACCTAACAATGCCTAGACGTGTATAATCATTTCACAAAAGCTAGTGACACTCTGAAGTTTTATCTAGCTCATAATGTATTATGGAGTATAAAAAACTTTGAAGGCAGAGATGCTATGGAATATGGACAGACCTCATTTCCCTCACTTTTACAAGCTTCCCAATCTCTCAGATGTCTTAGAGTAATATTAGAATATGACGCAATAGACACCAGGAAAAACGGAACATCTGCAATGAGATCATTCTTTAGCATTACGTAATGATATTGACAGTAGTAGTGTAGTACGGGCAGTATTGAGCATTAATGCATAACTAGTTATACCTGTTTTGGAACTTGTGTTACGCCAATCATTGCAAGCTGCCGACAAGTATTCAGCCTAAACGCAAAACAAGAAATAATAAACATCAAAGAGAGTTGTTCTGCCATTATCATTCGGAATAGGTAGCTTTTGACTATACCTGTACTAATATGGGCCTGCTCATTCGCTGCCCTTAGAAATGGGCAGGTTTGGACACATGTACTTACCCATCGGGCCAGGCCAAGTCAGGCTCGTAAAAAATATGGGTGGGTTTGGAATAAGGTGTAGGCCCATTCGAGCTAAAAAGCCAGCCATGTATATTTAATAAACGCATGTTTGGAAATATATGCGTATATATAGGGTGCACTTATAATGAGAACCATGCTTAACGTGAGAACCGTGAGAACACCACTATTAACTCAAGGCGTTACGCTTTTTTAAATATGAGAACATCAAATAAATACGGTGGCAAATTCATAAATATTTTGTCAACACGAAAAGTGGTATTGACAAAATAATTACGGTGTAACATACAACCGTTATTTTGTATCACATTCAGTTAAAAGTGATGTTCTCGCGATTCTCACATTAAGCATGGTTCTCATTTGATTATAAATCTCAAGTGGGTTTCTTTCTTCTTTTTCATTTGTAATTTTTTTATTTTGTTATCCTTAATAAAACTTCCTTTCTGTAAAAAAAAGTGCATCAGATAAGGTTACTTGAAAGTGCATTAGATAGAGTTATTGTGCATCAAATTGACAATTTGGAGGGCTGACATTAATTCTTATTTTGCATGTTAAAAGTTTTTCTTTATTTGATCCAAACTATATATATATATATATATATATATATATATATATATATGTATGTATATGTATATATATGGCTCACTATGTTTATACACACACACACACATATATATGCATTTATAGCCTAATAGGTTCAACTATTAGTGTTTATTTTTTAACTCATAGGCTAATAGCCCAACCCAATATAACATGTATTCTTGCAGTTAAGGATATTACACCGTAACTAACTATTAATTAATTAGTAGCATTAAGCTCAAGATAAAAAGAAAAGTAGTGAAATATTTACATTTTAGTTATTGTTTTGAATGATTATTTTTGTTTTAAGCCTTTTGTGTGTATGTGGTGAAGGACATATTTACATTAGTCACCTTGTTGATTACTTTTAGAATGTAATAAAGTTATCTTAAATTTGTTTTTATTTGTTCAAATAATTCTGAAAAATTACAGGCATCCCGGGTCAGGCCGCTAAGTGGACTGTCCATCCCGTTCTTATGGGCAGGTATGGTCATGTTAGATGGGCCTTTTATTGCGGGCCGAGCCTGGACCGCCACCTGGGCAGGAAAAGAGTAAAAAGCCTGGCCCGGTCCCACTTCTGTAATCTGTATAGGTCTACTTTTGACTTGCCTATGTGACTGAAATGGATTTTACCAAATGCTTCAGAAAATTCAGCCAATTAAGCTGAATAACTCCTACCAAACAGGCTATCATAATGTAAAATATATCCAAAAAAACAGAACCTGTTCGGGAGTGAAGCAATGTGAAGCTTGCCTCAAATCAACAAATGTTGCAGGAGGATCAATAATAAGAGCAGGGTAAGCAAGCCAATAGTGAAAGTGGAACTTCTTCAAGTCCGCAAATGATATAATTATGAATCTCAAAAGCAGAGCACTATCTTCCTCTACTTTGCCTGAGTGAATGTCATCCCATATCTGATATTGCGATAAAAATTGACGCTAAATACTCAGGTAAGAGTCCACAGTAAAATGCCCTTTCCACATTAATTGCAACTTACAAGTCAACAACTCACCATGACCTACAACACCTCAAGCATGGTCTACCAATAGATACTCTCTCTATCCCGTTGAACTTTGCCAACTTTCCTTTTTTGTTTGTCCCAAAAACTTTGTCACTTTCCTTTTAAAGTAACGAATTTGTGGTTCTTATTTCTTTCTCCTCCGAACAAATCTTAATCAAACAATTTCTACTTTTGTTATTCCACAACCAAATCAAAGTAGGCAATGTCCAATGGGACGGAGGGAGTATTTTTCTTTTTTCAACTGTTTAGACATACATCCATCCTGAAATAATTGATGCTTTAGAAAAGTCAAATATATAAGGGAACTTGCTGAATGACGATTCCACTCTTATTCATACTCTAATGCAGTAACTTTGAAGTACAAAAGTTAATATGGAAAATTTTGGAAGATAAGTAAAAATATGCATTGAATTCCTATAATGAAAAATGTTACTTTGGGACAATCTTTTGCCAAAAAACAAATTACTTGGGGGCGAAGGGAGTACTAAACATGGCCAAAGAAGCAAAGTTCACATTTAAATAACTGAATTCACCTTTTTGGCTTCTGTCTTTATTAGGGATTGCTTATCAAGAGCGCGGAAGGCCTCCAACGTGTTTGTGTTGTAAAGGGTGCCAGGTATAGGGCAACGATTTCTATTCCCCTGACTTTTCCAATGTGACGAGAACAAGTTCTCTTCATGCTCATGGGGCAAAGATTCAGCAAGAAGTGTCAAGTGATTAGACACCTGATGGTGTGAGCAAGGTGCATAAAAACCTGAAATAAAATCATCCCAATTGGTCTATCAAACCCACTTACCGGAGAAAGAGAAGAAACTGAAGAAGCACAGAACATAATGACAGAAGCCTTAAGGGTTCAATTTTGGATGGCGGGTTTTGGAGGGGAAGGTTGTGAAGGGTTGGAGGGATATGACTAAAACGTGACAAGTTATTGAGTATAACATCATGGTCACTACAGTGTAAAGTTCAGCATAATCATAGTCACTAAAAGTTACTCATATAGTCATTGCGTAAAATGTCACATTTTTATTCGCCATCTTTCTTCTAGTCATATATTACTATTGATGAGAAACCAAATATGCAACTTAAAGATCCTCTGAAAGTTTCTAGTGGTCCGGTGACTAGGTCCAAATCAAAGGGAATTCAAGAAGCGTTTAATGCATTTGTACAAGCAAAATGGAGTATTTGAGCCGAATACTTGTTGTGCGAAGCAACTCGTGTTTGCATCAACTATATAAAATATTATTTGTTTTGGTAAATAGACCGATATCACCGATGAGGAGGGTGGACAGGGTATTGGTCTAAGAGTGAGGAGGAATGATAGATTACAAGAATGTTGAAGAGTAATTGAGTCTTTAGAGTTTTTTTGGTTCATAGAGATGTCGTATAAGGGTAGCGAGGTCCTTGTAGGGGATTTAGTCGAGTGTGAGGTGAGTCATGATTAGGGGCAGCTTGTTTACGTGCTTTGTTGTTTGAGTTTTGTGTGATTATTTTTCTACTCGTTTACTTGCTTATCCAATATGTTTTTATCACTTATTTTTCATAATACTCACAATACCTTTGATCATTGTTGTGGGACTCAATGGACACAGTCTCAAATCTACATAAAATGTTATATGATCACTTGTTATGTTATTTTCCTTCAACTTTTTATTAAATATCAAAAAATGTCTAAGGATATTGCATATTCACCAAAAGCAAGTTCTCTTCAACATATTTCAATCCAAAAAAAATTGTATTGTACCTAAACAGGCCAGAGTGCCAGACCATACAATACTCGAACAAATTACACTTAAACGGAAGATATCAAAGTTGCAACGATTTGCATTATAACTAAAACCCGAACAAATCAAACACAAATTAGTCCAAGAGAACCAAACATGCTGTCATCCCCCCAAAAGCTTCCATCCAAATCCAAACTCGCCCATTACCCTAAGATGAGTAAATGAAACAAAGTGCACACAACATATAGTCCATCGGAAGTGGAAAACCTCAAATCAAGCTCAATGCAATTTCTTTTAGAAGTAACTTCTATAAATTATTTCTCAAAAAAGATAGGCATAATTTCACCTCCAAAGATTTTGTCAAATTTGATTATGCATTGTATTGTTATACACTTATACTCTAAGTTTCACTGTTTAGTTTTAAAAGCAGCATATTCCATCCAATGAAGCTTATTAATACTTGTTTTACTTTACATTGTTGTCAAAGTAAACAGAAGACGTGCATATTCTTCTTTTTCATTATCATTCCTATTTTTTCATCCACTCTTCCCTACTTTTGTACTCTTAACTTTTTCTGGTCTGTCTACACATGCAATTTTACTCTTAGATTCCCTAAAAAAACCTATGAGAGCATCTCAATGAGTGCTATTAAAGGAAAAGAGGAAATTTGATCCCATTGAAGAAGTAGCTTAAAGCATACCAGTGATGGGAATAGGTGAATCGTCTAGGCCCAACTGGTTAAGCTTGAGCGAAGATAATCTGTGCCAAAAACCTGCATCTACTAAGCTTTGAAATGGCAAGAATCGAAGAATTTTGTTTGCCTTCTTTGCATTATCATCACCCATACCCCCTATTTCACTTCTCTTTATATATTACTTCAAATTACTTCAAATACATATGCGTACTTTGATTTCAGTATTTTCCTGCGGATTTGCACAACAAAATGTTATATCAAAAGCTCTTTCTATTCTTTTCCGGACAAAACTCTTTATAATCCCAAAAAAAGAAGTTATTTATATTCTTACTTAAGCTTATCAAACATAGTCGTTTTTTACATAAATAACTTTTAGTTTCGTGCTTAATTGTATAATAATAAAAATAAATAAAATTGAAGTTTTTTTCGGCTGAAATCGCTAAAGATGACAGATTTAAATTAAAATAAAAAGAGTAAAAAATAAAAAACAGAAATACTTACCTGAGAGAAGCAGAAAGCCAGATTGCCAAAACCAGGTGCGTCCCAGAAGGCAGAAGCCGGTTAGCCGGGGTCCAGATAAGTAAATTAGGGGGCTAGGAGCAGCCGAGCAGCACTCAGCAGCGGCGGGCCGAGGCACAAAGGGCCGTAAGCGTTCGGGCGTCCGGCGATGAGAGCGGTGTTGCGTTCTTAGCTACGTGCGTCCGACCTCTGCTGCGTGTTTTTGCCATTTTCTGCCGTTCAACCTTTCCGTTGGATTGGGCAATGCACGATAGTGCACTGGCCCAAGACGTTTTTTTATGTCCCACTCATTTTTTCTTTTGAATTAATTATCAAAATACGACTAAAAGTCATTCACTTTTCACAAATAGGACCAAAAAATAAACTATGTTTGCATAGGACTAATTATGTGTACCTTGGACAATTATACCGTTATAGCTATTAAAATGTTTTAATTCCTAATAAAATAATAAAAAATAATAAAAATTCGTAAAAAATACTAAAAAATTAAGAAAAACATTTCGATATTAAAAATTTAATTAATTTTTTTTTTCAAAAAATTAAAAAAATTTAAAAAATTAAAAAAAAAATTAAAAAAAAATAAAAACTCAAAAAAAAAAATCGTCGCCGCCTCTGCCGCCTCAGCACCACCACCTCCAGCACCAGGGAAAAAAATGCCAAGTTCATTACGAATGCCATATTTATGGCAGAAAAAATGAAAATGTTGGCATTCGAAAAGAGAAATATGCCACTTTTTTGGCATTTTCAGAAAAAAAATGGCATTTTTCTGGGAAAATGGCATTTTTTTCATCGGCCGGAGGTGGTGGTGCTGGGAGGTAGTACAGGCGGTGGGAAAGGCATCCATATTTTTTTAAATTTTTTTTACGGAGTTTTACTATTTTTTATGAATTTTTTTAAAAATAAAATTATTTTTAAAAAAAAAGGTTTTTGAATTTTTTATTTTATAAAAATTTTATAAATTTTTTAATTATATTTCTACGAATTTTTGAATTTTTTCCGAATTTATTATGAATTAAACATTTAATTATGGCTTTTGACTATTTTTAATTCATATTTAATGGAAGGGTAAGAATGGAATGCAAAAATAGGTATGTTTCCAATAGGACTCATATGGTCCTATTTTGGAATAAAAACATAGCAAATCCTATTTTAGGTTTTTGCCATAGTTTTAGTCCTATTTGAACTAATTTCTATTTTCTTTTTCATTTTTAACTTTTTGGTTTTTAGTTATTCTTTTTTTTCAATTTTAGGCTGTTATTTCAATTTTTTGATAATCCAGGTCTTGAGGCTTACGCTCCCATAATCCTGGAATATATGAACTACCCTCCAAAGCCCCTAGAGAGTTATGTCCGGATCTGATCATAGTCAATCTCGTCAGTACTGGCTCCATAGGACGAATCCAGCAGGACTTACATCACCTTTCAGACTGCTCCTCCCACCACACGAACCTGCTACTTTCATTACCATTCTCTTCCTTCTCAGCCGCTGAGCAACTCTGTGAAGGTAGGGAGAATCATTGGGAGCAAGACCTCCCTCATCTCCCTTGGTGGGAGTTGAACCCAAGACCTCCCACAAAGGAGAGACTTGGGGGTGGATGGTCATTCATCGGACTACACCCACCTTCCCTAGGCTGTTATTTCAACTTGTCGTCGGAAGGCTACTACAGCGAGGGTTCCAACTCTCGAAGGGGATTTTGCTGGAGTAGCATCTGTCGTGCGATTTTCATCACCGGGAATAGGGTACTCCGTGGATTCATCAAACAGTTCAGTCCTCCTTGCGTTTGGTCATCATTCGTCCAGCTGCGATATTCCGGTCGCAATGTAGAGAGCAGTGCATACCTCTTCTCTAACGAGTAGGCGTGGCGGCCATTTTTGCACATAAGCTAGAAACTGCCAGACAACATACCAGGGACACTCTTTGTTCATCACCTGGAGACCAACAACGACCATTGCTTTTGCATCATCTGTGGAAGCCCTCATACCTGTGGATGGGGAAAGCTTGGAGGAAAAAACATAAGCGTGGGAGGCAACCATATAGGTCTCTGGCGGATGATGTCCAGGATGATTCTCAATCAATTCCAGATTTACAATCCAAAGACTTATATGAGTTTGAGGTTATAATCAAAAGCCCTTTTAATTTAAAATTGATGGCTCTTTTGTTAGCATTTGGGAAAGTAAACATGGAATCACATCTATTTTGAATCTTGATTTGGTTAGAGTTACTTGTTTAAAGGATTTCATTCTCAATGTTATTTCTGGAAATAAGCTATGCACTAGATTTGAACCGAATAAATCCCTTATCATTATGTATGATGCAAATTTATGTGGAGGTTTTTCGTGAATACAAAAGCTGTGTGAGGTGCTTCCATTAATTGACATGTCTATTTTGATGGTGTGAGTTAATTAGTTTAGAGGTTGGAAAAATTTGATAACTCGTGTGAGTTATTTGAGAAGTTGACATTAGTTGATGGTTAATGAGGCATGAAAGCTCTTACAAGTTGTCTTCCTACATAACAAATTGAGATATTTATTAGCAAATTAATCTTAGCCTGATTTATTTAAAGAGGCGTGGAAGAATGAGTATGAACAACACTTCGTTCCATCTGAAATACAAAAGACAATGCGATGAGGGGGGTTGTTCTGTGGTGGAAAGTCTTCTACTCTTCTAACTATGATTTTGAATTTTTCCTAGTTTTTTGTAAGAGTGTAATACTTCATTGTTGTATGCTGCAATTCTCATGTAACGGTGCCATTCCCCTCATCACATGTGCTGCAATTCTATTTTTTGTCTTTTAATAATCCATTTCCCCTCAGTCTGTCACATGTGTTGCAATTGATGAGTGTCACAGTCTTAAAGCTCTTTGCTGTTAAATTGTGAAAAATAACTAGTTCTAGTGGAATATATGAAGAAGCAGATCAATAACTGTTGAAATATATTTGTTCTACTCATTATATGGGATTGGTTTTATGTTTGAAAATCTATTGTGATTTTAATACTCCATCTGCTTTCTAGTTTTTTATATCAAGAACACCACAAGTTGATGTTATCAAGTATTCAAATGATGTGTTGTTCGTTTTGCAGCCAAGCTGGAAATGACAAGTGTGTTGCTCATGTTGCAGCCAATTTAGAAATGATGGATCCATGTTCTGGTGTTGAGGACATGATTGGGTATACTATGACTGCAGATGGTGAGGACAAAGGTCTTCTTAAACCGGGATGGAGTATCCTAATAGAACCTACAAATGGTAATACTGGCGTTGGGATGACATTAATGGCAGCAACAAAGAGATACATACATATCATCACCATGCATGATTCCCCACAAGGCACACCTACACTAGTTTCAGTACGAGTGACATATAGTTCATGAAGAAATAATAAGAAGCAAAGCTAAATAGTATAATAGATAAATGTAGTAAATTGGAACAATAGATTGAATTGAATATTTGTTGAGATACTCTCGTATGTTATTTTATGTTGCTTTTTGTTGTACCACGTGTATTGCATTTTGTTGCATTGTGTTGTTTTTTGCTGCATATTGTTATTCTATATAGGTTTACTCTAAATCATTTAGATACAAACACCTAAAATGTTAAATTTCGATTTATGAATATGAAAAGCTACATGAAACATAAAGAAACAATCAAAAACAAAAATGTCAAAATTATCAACAAAAAGAAACCCAAAAAATCACAAGAAACAAAAACTAACAATAAAGTGATAAAACTAATAATTAAAATTTTAAGTACTTTAAGAAAAATTACATTAGAAAATTAGTTTTTTTAATTTTTTTGAATATATAATCAATTTTCAAGTTCATCATTTTAAATTTTCATTCGTTGAGTTTATTTTAATTTTACACACTTTTAAGTTACATTAATTTTCTGATTTTTTATAAATGGGGCAATTATAGGGGGCGGGGGAGGGAGTATATTTTACTAGAAAAAATTATGAAATGTATTTTTTATTATATAAACTTTATTTTTTTGAAATATTTTTATATTTTTATATAAATTATATTAACTATTGAAAATTAAGTTGTACATTTTATTTTCGAGTTGTGATTCTAATTTTTTATACATTTTGTAATTTTTTGTGATTTTACCTCTAAACTTAAAATCATCTTATTTTATTTTTAAAACTTTGTTTACAAGTTTTTACTTTTTATTTTTTGAATTTGAATTATTGTTCAGATTTATATTTACAATAAATTCAAAAATAGATTTAGATTTGCTGTTATTTTTTGCACTTTTAATATTTACCTAATTGTTTTCATCGTTTAGTGTTTAATAGCTTTTTACATTTTATGTTAGTTTGGCTAAGGAGCCACAATTTAAACTTTACGTGCATAGCAGTGCACTTTTGAGAGAGGGCATTCTAGTAGACCATACGTCTATTCCACGTATGGTCTATTTGTGAAAGAAATTTGTAGCTATTCTATTTTTCAAATAAATTTCAAATGTTAACAAAAGTGATATTATTTCTGATTTTCAGTCTATATGCGAAAATTACCCTTTATTTTTAGTGTATGCATAAGGGTAATTCTAAACACACTTACAAGATTGTTATTTACACCCACTTAATTAAATTTTAATAGATAAAATCATTTTAAATTCTAATTTACCTTGATGCAAATATATTTTGATATGTAGACGGTGCTACATTATGCGTCATTGTTGGCGGGGCGGAACCAGGGCATGAGCCGGTGCCGGCACCATCCCTTCGCAAGAATTTTTTTAGTAGTAGGTAGTATTACGTATATTGATTGCCATGTGAACTAGAGAGAAACGAAGAAATATGGAGGCTGTTTTTTTTTAATTAAATCAATAAGCCAAACGACGTCATTTGGTTAAGTGCACAGAAAAAGTAGAAACAACACCGTTTTGAAATTAAATCTGATGTTAGCGTTTGACCTTCCTACCTCGTCCGGTCGCTTGTGGTTTCCAGAGAGTCAGAGACCAAAGCTCTGAGCTTCAGACTTCCAGCCGTTCGAGGCTTGCACTTGCAGAGCTGCGAGTCGCAGAGCGGTTTCAGACTTCAAGAGTTCCGTAGTCCTGCCTCGCCAGTCGCCAGCGGCCACGCCTCACGGCTCAAGTCTCTGTCAGTCCGTCCGCCGTCGCACTCTCTGTCCCTCCGAACTCCGAAGGGTGATGTTCGAACTCAATCCCCCGCGTCTGCGTCTCAACTCCTGGCGACGGTCTGGTAAGTACTTTATATTGAAATCTTTTTCATTTACTTTAATTGCTTATTAGTTTTAATTACTTATTTAATTTAAAAT